ACAAGGGGCTGATATCCAGAATTTACAAAGAACTAAAGCAGATCTACAAGAAAAAAACAAACAAGCACATTCAAAAATGGGCGAAGGATATGAACAGATACTTTACAAAAGAAGACATACAGGAGGCCAACAAACACATGAAGAAATGCTCATCATCACTGGTCATCAGAGAAATGCAAATCAAAACCACATTGAGATACCATCTCACACCAGTTAGAATGGCAATCATTAAAAAATCGGGAAACAACAGATGCTGGAGAGGATGCGGAGAAATAGGAACACTTTTACACTGTTGGTGGGAATGTAAATTAATTCAACCATTGTGGAAGACAGTGTGACAATTCCTCAAGGACCTAAAAATAGAAATCCCATTTGACCCAGCAATCCCATTACTGGGTATATATCCAAAGGATTATAAATCATTCTACTACAAGGACACGTGCACACGAATGTTCATTGCAGCACTGTTTACAATAGCAAAGACCTGGAACCAACCCAAATGCCCAACGATGATAGACTGGATAGGGAAAATGTGGTACATATACACCATGGAATATTTCGCAGCCATCAAAAACGAAGAGTTCACGTCCTTTGTAGGGACATGGATGAACCTGGAAACCATCATTCTCAGCAAACTGACACAAGAGCAGAAAATCAAACACCGTATATTCTCACTCATAGGCGGGTGTTGAACAATGAGAACATATGGACACAGGGAGGGGAGCACTACACACTGGGGTCCGTTGGGGGAAATGGGGGAGGGGCGGGGGGGTGGAGAGGTGGGAAGAGATAGCATGGGGAGAAATGACAGATACAGGTGAGGTGACGGAAGGCAGCAAACCACACTGCCATGTGTGTACCTATGCAACAATCTTGCATGTTCATCACATGTACCCCAAAACCTAAAATGCAATAAAAAAAAAATTTGGAGACAATAGATGCTGCTGGAGAGGATGTGGAGAAATAGGAACACTTTTACACTGTTGGTGGGAGTGTAAATTACTTCAACCATTGTGGAAGACAGTGTGGCTATTCCTCAAGGACCTAGAAACAGAAATTCCATTTGACCCAGCAATCCCATTACTGGGTATATATCCAAAGGATTATAAATTGTTATATTATAAGGACACATATACACATTCATTGCAGCGCTGTTTACAATAGCAAAGACTTGGAACCAACCCAAATGCCCATTGATGACAGTCTGGACAGGGAAAATGTGGAACATATACACCATGGAACATGACGCAGCCATAAAAAAATGATGAGTTTGTGTCCTTTGTAGGGACATGGATGAACCTGGAAACCATCATTCTCAGCAAACTGACACAAGAACAGAAAATCAAACACCGCATGTTCTCACTCATAGGCGGGTGTTAAACATGAGAACACATGGACACAGGGAGGGGAGCATCATACACTGAGGTCTGTGGGGGGGATCTAGTGGAGGGACAGTGTGGGGGTGGGGAGTTGGGGAGGGGAGAAATGTCAGGATAGGTGATGGAGAGGAAGGCAGCAAACCACATTGCCATGTATGTACCTATGCAACAATCTTGCATGTTCTTCACAGGTACCCCAAAACCTAAAACACAATTATATATATATATATATATATATATATATATATATATATATATAATAAATAAATATATATATATATAAAAGAAAACTGATTCATAAGAAATCATAAGCATTTTAAAGGAGTTGTGTCATCTTGGGTCTAAATGGGACAGAGACAGTACCAAATGTAAAAGAGGTTATTGGAACCTTAATTTCTATAGGCAGAAAGCAGGCTGAAAAAACTATGCACTTGAAAACAAGGACTATATTTTACGGAAAGGAAGAATGATGGAGAAGGTAGCACCAAGAACCAAGAATTACTCTGTGAAAAATCATTTCCATGAACTAAGTCTTCATCAAAAAAATGTGCCCAGTTGGATTTCCATACTGCTATGAACCAGTGGCTCCTGTGTGCTTCCTATTTTCTCTCTTTCGGAATCTATAGTGGTTACCCGAATCTTGTTCTACCACTATATAATGGGTGTGAGAGGGGCAGCTACCTTATCTCTTTAATTTCCTTGTGTTCGGATCAAGAGGAATTGCTCGTCAGGAACACAACTGAGACACCTCATCTGTACCTGAACCTGATTTAAATGAAAGAACACAAGCCTCAATCTGTAATACGATGAACTCTGCAAGTTCTTGGGGAAAGGGTGAGTGACGATTCACATATAGGAAAGAGGTGAATTCTTATGGTTAGGAGGATGAATGTGACAGATTGTGTTTTCCAAAATGGTCATAGCCATATTTCCAGACCAATATGCACTTCTTGAACTTTGCTACCCCATCGAGAGATTGAGTCTACTTTCTCTCCCCTTTCAATCCAGGCGGACTAGGTGACTAACTTTATAAAATGCAGCAGAAATGATGCTGAATAACACACAGGGCTAAACCAAAAATATGACAGAGCTTCCACTTGGCTGGAGGGCACTCTCTCTCGGAATCCTGACCCTCAGAACTTAACACTGCCATGCAGTGAGGAAGCCCCGGTCACATGGAGAGGCCACATACAAATGTATGAGGACTAAAGTGTAAGCATTAAAAGCCAACATTAACTGCCAGGCGACACCAGCTAATGCAAAAAGTGAAGCAAAAATGAGTGATTGCCACTGGTCCCTAACCAAGTGGTAGATTCTTAAAAAACATAAATGTCTTTTATTTTAACCACAAGTTTTATTGTAATCTGTTATGGATCTGATATAGTTTGGACGTTGCTGTCCTCTCTAAATTTCATGCTGAATTATAATCCCCGTGTTGGAGGTGGAGGCTGCTGGGAGGTGATTAGATTACGGGGGTGGCTTTCTCATGAATGCTTTAATACCATCCCCTTGGTGCTGTCCTTGTGATAGTGAGTGAGTTCTCGTGAGATGTGACTATTTAAAAGTGTGTGGTACCTCCTCCCTCCTTGCTCTTCCTCTCATCATGTGATGTGCCTGCACCTCCTTTACCTTCTATTAGGAATAAAAGCTCCCTGAGGCTCCCCAGATGACGAGCACATGCCAATGCCATGCTTCCTGTACAGTCTGCAGAACGCTGAGCCAATTAAACCTCTTTTCTTTATATATTACCCAGTTTCGGGTATTTCTTTATAGCAATGCAGGAACAAGACTAAAACAGCATCCTTAGTACAAGGACATGACTTTATTCAGGAAGCTACGGGAAGGCAATAAACCAAGAAACTAGGAAATAGCCTGAGAAAGGGAAAAACAAAATATAAGAAATGGAGAATCCAATACAAGAAAGTGGCAAACGGAAATCTCAGAATGACAACAAAAAAAATTCCTCGCTTAGAGTTACACAAATGTCATAGAGAGAAACTCAGCATGGAGGGAAGAGGTGAACACTGAATGTGAGGGAAAAAATAAAACCTAGATATTACCCTACTGGTTTGATGATGTGGAAAAATATGGTTTAAGGGGTATTTTTCAGAGTTGTTAAAAGCTCTGTGGAAATTCAGTAATATCTTAAATTTAAGAAGACGTGGAAAACGAAGATGATCTAAAACAAAACAAAACCAAATGCAAAATGTAGGTAGTTATTAATTCCAGAAAAAAAAAATTACACCATAAGGAAAATGTAAACGTGGCAACATACTTGGCTCAGGAATGGACAATATTTACAGTCACAGTAATAAATACACCATATTAAAACATTAAAAATCATGATATAATTTCACTGGGAGAATGAGGAGAAAGGAAGTTTGGTGAAAGACAGCTGAAGGGCCGGGCGCGGTGGCTCAAGCCTGTAATCCCAGCACTTCGGGAGGCCGAGGCGGGTGGATCACGAGGTTGAGAGATCGAGACCATCCTGGTCAACATGGTGAAACCCCGTCTCTACTAAAAATACAAAAAATTAGCTGGGCATGGTGGCACATGCCTGTAATCCCAGCTACTCAGGAGGCTGAGGCAGGAGAATTGCCTGAACCCAGGAGGCGGAGGTTGCGGTGAGCCGAGATCGCACCATTGCACTCCAGCCTGGGTAATAAGAGCGAAACTCCGCCTCAAAAAAAAAAAAAAAAAAAAAAAAAAGACAGCTGAAATCCTCAGCTATTATACTAGGAGGTCAACAGATAATATCTAAAATGAAAGAATCAAGACACAGAAGTATGCACACATTATTCAAAAAGATGTAGGTAAACATTAGAAGAAAAAGCAAGGCTGGGCATGGTGGCTCACGCCTGGAATCCCAGCACTTTGGGAGGCCAAGGCAGGAAGATTATCTGAGGTCAGGAGTCTGAGACCAGCCGGGCCAATATGGTGAAACCCGGTCTCTCCTAAAAAAATACAAAAGTTAGCCAGGGGTGGTGGCACATGCCTGTAATCCCAGCTACCCAGGAGGCTGAGGCAGAAGAATCACTTTGACCCTAGAGGTGGAGGCTGCAGTGAGCTGAGACTGCACCACTGCACTCCAACCTGGGCAACAAGAGTGAAACTCCATCTCAAAAAAAAGAGACAGCTAAAAGAGTAAAACAGGTGCCTCTGAAAGTGTGGATGTATTTGTGTAAAGGTGGGGAAGCAGAAGTCAGAGGACTGATTTTTAACATCATTTGAATTTTTAAACTATGTTTTGCTTACTTTAATCAATTAAAATATTGCTGGCTGTGGTGGCTCATGCCTATAATCCCAGCACTTTGGGAGGCAGGCGGATCACCTAAGGGTTGGGAGTTCGAGACCAGCCTGACCAACATGGAGAAACCCTGTCTCTATTAAAAATACAAAATTAGCCAGGCATGGTGGTGCATGCCTATAATCCCAGCTACTCTGGGAGGCTGAGGCAAGAGAATTGCTTGAACCTGAAAGGCAGAGGTTGAGCTGAGCCAAGGTCACACTATTGTACTCCAGCCTCGGCAACAAAAGTAAAACTCCATCTCAAAAAAAGAAATAAATAAAAAATTAATTAATTAAAATACATGCAGACTTTTTTATTAGAAATATACTTACTAAGGAAATGCTGTTGAAGTAGGAGCTAAAACTGGAGGATTCTTCCAAAACTCATCCAACAAACTCTGAATAATTTTTCCAAGATCTGAGTGCATTGTAAACTGAAAGTAACAATAATACATGATGATTAAAATCACTTTCAGAAAACGATTATACAGTCTTATTAGGATAGTATCATTCTAAATATTAACTTACTTTTATAGGTCAATAATTAAATAAAAAAGGATATTAGCAATTCACAAGTTGTAACCTTTTTTTATACAATCGATATTATAAATATCTGGTAGTCAGTAAACAGGTTAAAAGTCCATTTAATCAATAATAGAGCTGAAATATTTCCATATTTGATGATTTACAGTAATTTGAGGGTTCAAAGGTAAATACTAGAGTATATGTTAAGTTACAATCTTTCACAATCAGCCATATCATATTCTAAGAATGTTAAGGCATAGTCTTAAATATTCAATTTTTTAAAAATTTCCCACGACAAAATGAAACTTTAAACTCACTTCAGATTTCTAAAATATTTTGTAGAAAAGTAATACACCTATTGTATTACCCCTAAATAAATTATCCCATATACATACATTGTTTACTAATGGAGAGGTAACATACACTCCTTGTTTATCCATTAAGTGATGTCGTATTGGTGGATAAACACTGATCACTGGTTTTTCCTGAGGAAATTGTGGAGGAAGCAATCTGATAGAGGTAGAACAGATGAAAGACAAAAACAAAGATAACAAAGGTACATTATACAGTCAAACTCTTAAAATTAAGTTATTTAAAAGTAAATTAAATTTTCACACTTTGATATGGATTATTTAGCATTAAGTGCTCCATTATAGTGTTGTCTGAAAATATATATAAGAAGAAAATTTGGTAATTAAAGACTAGTTATTCAACATAGTAAAATCTTAGTGTGAAATATGGACATGAATTACACAATATTCTTCACATCATGCCCATTAGTTGCTTTCAAACACAATACACCAAGCTATACAAAATCTTAGGTAAAAATTAGATCAGCCATTTGTATCAGGTGAACCGTACTAGTCCAGTCTGGTTATTTATGTACCACAGGTTCTAGCCATATAAATTTCCTGTGGTTTTTCTACTTTGAAAATGCTGTCAAGGCTGGGCATTGTGGCACATACCTGTAGTCCCAGCTACTCAGGAGACTGAGGCAGGAGAGCCACTTGAGCCCAGGAGTTCAGTCCAGCCTGGACAACATAGTGAGACCCCATCTTTAAAAAAATAAAGTAAGATAAAAACAAATAAAATGCCGTGAAGCATTATTTCACTATTTATTGTACCTCTAAAGAGTAAGAGGATAAAATGGAAAGTAGTAGGATTGAAATGTAGCTGTTATCAAGACTTGGTTCTACATGGCTCCCTTCTAAATGCCATAAATGACACATCTCTCCCAACTTAGGGGTCAATCACATGGTTTCAAGTAAAGAACAGTAAGTTTTCAACACCAAAAAAAAGTGCAAATTTAAACCTTTTTGAAATATGGCAAAACCAAGATTAGTGAGTGAAATCTTTAAAACTTAAAAATAAGAGTTTACTGGATATAAAACCATGTTTTCCAAATCTCTAAAACTTATTATTTTACTTTGAAATGCCTCTTTGTTCCCCTGTTGGCTCAGAAAACTATTTGTTAGTAGCACTGTTGAAAAGAAAACTGGGTCCTTTTTGGCCTCCTCTGCTCAGCTCTACCTGGGCATTTGATGAGAGATAAAACTACTTCATTTACATAGTTGAAGATTTTAAAACTAATATGGCAAAAAAGGCACTAAATGGCCTTTGGAGCCCAGTCAATCTAGGTTTGTATCTTGACTATGCTCTTAATCATGTTTCTGTAAGCTGCCCTAATTTGCAGGGCTGCTGTGAGGATTCAAAAAGCTCATATATAACAAGTTAACATAGCAGTTATATATTCATGCTTTAAATCACTCATTCAATTAGTATTTAATAAGGCCTCCTAGGTACGGGCACTAAGCTAGGCAATGAGAATGTGAAAGTGAATAATTTCAAGTTAGGTGCCTTCTTCTCTGGCCCAAACACTTGCTCTAGCAAAAGCCACTTAATGCAACTTGAGGTAATCACAATCTCTGCATACTACATCCTCATAGCTGCATTTAAGGCTAAATAGCTACTTCAGCAATCACTTTGTCCAACTTTTTGTAATTTAAATAAAAACCTGATAATTATTATTTTTAACTTTTTTCATAAAAATAATCAGCAAATCATATCTAGACTTGAACTTTCCAGTTGATGTAGTATTATCTGTTGCTGAAATTTGGAATATTTTAACTTGTTTCTGATTTAAAGGTGAATCTATACATATATATATATATATATTCCCTTTGTTTTTTATCACTGTTCAGCCTACCTCCAGTGAAGATTTTAGTGCTAATAAAAACAATTATAGTACTAAGAATTAGTATTGCACATTTTTATTGCATTCCTCTTCTCTAGTTTTTTTCTTATAGCACTATAACTTACAGTGATAGTTTTCAAAATTTTTTATCTCATTGAATTGTGCACTATTTTATAAATTAATTATTTGAAACAAGTTCACTTTTAAAAGCTTACTTACTAATAACTAAGAAATAAAAAAAAAACTAAGTCCTTTTAAATGAAAAAGTAGGACAGAATTCTACTCACATATTAATGTTAATTGTCAGGTTGTTTATGGTGAATGGCAATCTGTATTCCACATCTTTCTGTATTTCAGCTATACTGTAAGAGAAAATTTTAAAAAAGTTTACCCAAAGTCATGAAACCATTATTGTTAAAAACAAATGTTAAGTGCTACCTTTATTTTTAATCACAGAATCAGGATTGCCAGCATATTTTGTATCTTGAGGGGAAGGAAAATGATCATAGTTGGAAAGGATCATCAACTAACTAAGCAGTAATATTCTGAACCATCCAGGGGAAGGGGATGTTGAAGTAAAGAGGCAAGAAAAAAATCTCTTCATTAATGCTAGATTGATTTACTATCACTCTATCCAATTTACCATTTGCAGAAGCAATTGTGTACTCTGGTTAATAAAGGTCAGCAAGCCATCTGGGTTCTGATTCTAACTGCCACTATCCAGCTATATAGACAGCTGGGGAAGTCTGAGTCTTAACAGCTTGAACTTAAAAGTCTAGATGAGATGTATCCTATAGTCTTATGACAGAGGCTGCTGGCTGCTTTCCAAAAACAGTTACCCACTTCTTTCTAAGTAAAGAAGCTTGATTTTATCCTGGGTGGCAATGTTCTAGTTCTTATAGCTAGTTGTTGCTATAGACTTAACTCTCAGTCAATAGAATGTACAGGGAAGTTGTAGGGAGAAATTCCAGGTAAACGGCTTAAAGAAAACAAAATAATAGACAATTGATATCAGCCCATTTTGCCCTTCCTGCCTTCCTTCTACTTCCTCCTTCCATCTAGGAATTAGACTTCCAATAGTCATTTTGTATCATCAGTGACTCTTAGGATCGAAGCCATGCACTAAGGAAAGCTAGGCAGAAAGAAAGAAGTAGCCTGGGTCCTTGATGACATGACGTTGTCAAACTCTGACTTTTTTTTAATATGAGAGAAAAATAAACTTTTATCTTGTTTTAGCCACCATTCTTGGGTCTTTGGTACTGACAGCTGAATATAATTCTTGCCTTGTAAGTCCCTGATACTAACACTCCACATTCATAATTTTGCTTTATTGTTATTTGCAGGCATACATTATTATAACTATAATATACTAAGCAAGTCTTTTAGGGGCTTACTTGAAATTCTAACCAATATTCATGATATTTGCAAGGGGGAAGATGCTAAGTAGTATTAATGAGGTGAGGTTGCAGAGAAAGCTTAATATTCAAATGGATACGAAACTTCTTCAAGCATGAATACCCTTCAAATGCCTAGCATATGAATAACGATTTGCTTTTTGTTCTTTTGGATGCTTCATCTAATAGCTTTATAAAACCTCTTATTTCTGTCCATTTCTGGTCCTTTGATAAGAATGCAGCCCCCAAGGATATGTAAATCTCAGACAGCTTAAAAGATTCAAAAGTGTTGGGATGGTGTTACTGAAAAACTATAGACGTAGATAAACTTTCCTCTCTGACATTCTAATGGAGGGGGTTATCATTTAGAAGAAACGATTAAAAAAAGACTCAAACGGATACTCACTAGGACTTGAACAATTTTTATGGAAGTTTCTCTTTGGGAATTAGTTTGGACTGAAAACCTTCTCCACTGCATGAACACCACATAATCAACAAATGGCCTAAGTTTTTTATTCCTCTACATTGTTTTAGAAACTTAGGAGGTAATTGCTCAAGGAAATAAATACTAGTCACGAAAGCATCCACCAGTTCAAAGTCAAGTACAGCATCTTAGTGATTAAGAGCATTGCCTCTCGAGTTAGTCTTCCTGGGTTCAAATCCTGTCTCTACCATTTATTCACTTTCATGGGTACATTAAGCCTTTTCTCTCAAATTGGGAAGGGGGATGTTAAAAACGTCTACCTAAAAGACTTGTTAAATTAAGCAAAATAATGCATGTAAAGCCCCAACATAGTACCAGGCAAATAACTGTTCGATAAGTGTTAGCTATTATTAAATAGGCATTTAGAACATGCAAGTTGATCCCTCTCTATATTTATAGTATTAAGGTTTTTGTTTTTTGACAGGGAGTCTTGCTGTGTTGCGCAGGTTGGAGTGCAGTAGCAGGATTTTAGCTCACTGCAATTTCTACCTCCTGGATTCAAGCAATTCTCCTGCCTCAGCCTGACAAGTACGGGGACTACAGGTACATGCCACCCTGCCCTGTTATTTTTGTATATATATTTTTTGTAGACATGGGGTCATGCCATGCTAGCTAGGTTGATCTGGAACTCCTGACTTCAAGTACTCCACCTGCCTTGGCCTTCCAAGTTTTAACTCATCAGTTTTTCAGACATTGTTTCGATTTTTACAAAAAGTTTTCATTGAAAACGTACTAAAATAAATTTGATTTAAATAATTTTTATTTAAGTAGTTAGATATCTCCAATTCATTTTCTCCAGCTATATGGTTGACAGTTACTAAGATTTTTTTATGAGTTTTCTTCACAAACTAGGTACCACAAATAACAGAAGGTGATACTTATAATATTAATGACAGTTGAACCATCAACAAATTCCAAAACAAGTTAATCATGGCAATCTAGAAATGCATTTGATTAGTTGCATTAGATAAAACAATAGGTATGTAATTGTTTTAATTAAAACAGGAATCATTTCCTGAATATTCATCGCCAATGTGATTTTGAATATGTTGCTATTTTTAATAACTTAAAAAAATGTATTCCAAAACATTAATTCTCATTGAAAAAAGGTTATCATATCATCAAAAACTACTGTTAACATATTGCTGTGTAATATTCTAAACTTATTTGTACATTCATAGCCTTATTTAAAACAAAAATATAATTATACTGTACCTCAATTTTGTAAGTTCCTCTTCTCACTTAATTGTGATTGTCTTTCCAAACCAGTAAATGTTATTTTACAATATCATTTTTAATAGCTGCATAATGTTCTAGTACATAGTCATACTATTATTTAAGGTATTTTCTATTAAAAGATATTGAAATTGTTTACAGTTTTTACTCTTATAAGGCATGCTTTGATAAACATTCTTAGAGCCATATCTTTATGCTGACAGTGGTAGTATTTTCAATGTAAATACACATATACGTATTTTAAAGTAATAGTTTAATTACACCACAAGAGAAAATTTAAATGACCTATAAATTAATAATTATTTTTTCTAGATTCTCTGGGAGAAGAGAATTACTATGGTTTTACCTCAGTGAATGAATTTGTTGAGGCTAAATAAAGCCGTAATAACATATAACTTTGTTATTAGAATATATGATTAATTGGTATCTTCATTTCTTTTTCTTTTTTGAGACAGAGTTTCGCTGTTGTTACCCAGGCTGGAGTGCAATGGCGCAATCTCAGCTCACTGCAACCTATGCCTCCTGGGTTCAGGCAATTCTCCTGCCTCAGCCTCCCGAGTAGCTGGGACTACAGGCACGCACAACCATGCCCAGCTGATTTTTTGTATTTTTAGTAGAGACGGGGTTTCACCTTGTTGACCAAGATGGTCTCGATCTCTTGACCCTGTGATCCACCCGCCTCAGCCTCCCAAAGTGCTGGGATTATAGGTGTGAGCCACCGCGCCCAGCCGGTATCCTCATTTCTTTGACAGTTCCCCAAACTGTAAACAAGTAGATCTTAATATGCAATAGAGACTTCCAGTTCCAACATGGTGGTGTAGAAGCAAGCTGGCTTCACTTAATGCCACAGAAAACCAAGAACAAATACGTAACACTGAGATTTGCTGAGTGTAGGATGGACTATATTTCTTGCTGAGAGCCACGGCAAGGAAAACCGAGCTGGACCCCTCTAGTGGAAAACTGCTCAGGGTGTTCCAAAGTAGTGAACAGTATGTGTATATAATATACCAGTTAAACTAGTTCTTTAAGCACAGGATATGTCACCCTGCCCCTGTGGCTCCCTAGTGGAGAATGCTTTCTGGTTTGTCTTTCATCAGTGATAAGCAGGCTAACTGCCTAGTTTATTTTTGTTCTGTGAGGAAACACAGAACACCTATTTGTTAATAATAATCACCTGTTTAGAGAGAATAAAAACACGGATCAGAGCCTGCAAGAGGCTATCAGCCCAGAATACTGTTAGCCCCCTGAGACTCTGAGCTTGGAGGGCTGTTAGCCCCAATAGTCCCACTTTGCACTCTATTTGTGTCTGTTTCTTAATTCTTTCAGTGTCATCTAGGTTGGGGTCTCTACAACCAAGCTGGTCTTGGCAGAGATTAACACCAGCAACATCCCAGAACTCAAATATGAGGATCAGTCACTTCTCAGGGCCACAGAGAAGTGAAAAAACTCTGAGCAGATGGTAAGAAAATCAGACTTCCATATTTGTGCCTCTCCCCACAGTCTTCCTAACACCAAGCATGAGAAAAATTTCCCTTCAACTCACAGTTTCTACACTGGAAAAAGGGAGACTGAGGTGGACAATCAGCTTCCCCACCATTCTAAGTTCCCTGCCAGGAAACTCATCCCTGCCTCAACCCACTGGAATCATCATGAGGACTGAAAGGAGAAATATCCCTGAGGACAGCCAGAGACAAAAGGGAGAGGGGGAGAAGCAAGAATACCAGTCTTAACCCAGGAAAATGTTACTGAGCCGAAGAAAACACCAAATCAGAGTGCCTATTCAGCAGCTCCATGTTGTAGGAGATAGGTTCCACAGATCCCTTGGGCAGGAACCCATTGTGAGCCTTCCTACACTGGTGAGATATCCTCTTTGGGAGCTCCCCCATTAGAGCTGGGCAGTGCTCCAGTATTTACTAGACTAAGGCAAACCTGGGTTTAAAGTGTCACTGGGAAGCAAAAAGGAGGTAGCAATCAAACAGTAGTTTTTAAGCAAATATATTCAATAAAACCAAAACAAGCCAGAGAGAGAAGACCAGAATAAATAACAAATTCTTCAAAGTAAAGACATAAATGCACATCTGCAAGAAACAAGAGCAAACAGGGAGCCTGACTTCCCTGAATGGACAAAGCAAAGAACAAATGACTGACCCTAATGAGATAATAATATGTGAGATCTCTGAATAAGAACTGAAAATAGCAGTTTTAAGGAAACTCACTGATCTCCCAGATAAAACAAAAAATTCAAAAA